GAACAAATGAAACTCAAAGTTAGTAGAAGGAAAGAAATCATAAAGATCAGTGCAGAAATAAATGAAATAGAGACTAAAAAAAAAATAGAAAAGATCAATGAAACTAGAAGCTGGTCCTCTGAAAAGATAAACTAAATTGATAAACCTTCAGCCAGACTCATCAAGAAAAAAAGGGAGAGGGCCCAAATCAATAAAATCAGAAATGAAAAAGGGGAAGTTACAACTGACATCACAGAAAAACAAAGGATCATAAGAGACTACTATGAACAACTAGATGCCAATAAAATGGACAACTTAAAAGAAATGTACAGATTCTTAGACAGGTACAATCTCTGAAGGCTGAACCAGGAATAGAGAATATAAATAGACCAATTACCAGTAATGCAATTGAATCAGTAATTTAAAAACTCCCAACAACCAAAAGTCCAGGACCAGATGGATTTACAGGCAAATTCTACCAAACATTTAGTTAACACCTATCTTTCTGAAACTATTCCAAAAAATTGCAGAGGAAGGAACACTTCCAAACTCATTCTATGAGGTCACCATCACCCTGATACCAAAACCAGGCAAAGATATCACACAAAAAAAGAGTATTACAGATCAATATCACTGATGAACATGGATGTACAAATCCTCACCAAATACTAGCAAACAATATATTAAAACAATATATTAAAAAGATCATACACCATGATCAATTGGGGTTTATCCCAGGGATGCCAGGATTTTTCACTATCTGCAAATCAATCAATTTAATATACCACAGTAACAATGTGAAGAATAAAAACCATACGATCGTCTCAATAGATGCAGAAAAAGCTTTTGTTAACATTCAGCATCTATTTATGATAAAAACTCTCCAGAAAGTGAGCATAGAGGGAACATACTTCAACATAATAAACACCATATATGACAAACCCACAGTTAATACCAAACTCAACAGTGAAAAACTAAAGCATTTCCTCTAAGATCAGGAACAAGACAAGAATGTTGGTTCGGAAGTCCTAGCCACAGCAATCAGAGAAGAAAATAAATAAAAGGATTCCAAATTGGAAAAGAAGTAAAACTGTCACTGTTTGCAGATGACATGATACTACATATAGAAATCCTAAAGATGCTACCAGAAAATTACTAGAGCTCATCAATGAATTTGGTAAAGTTGCAGGATACAAAATTAACACATAGTAATCTGTCGCATTTCTGTACACTAACAATGAACTATCAGAAACAGAAATTAAGATGCAGTCCCATTTACCATCACATCAAAAATAATAAAATATCTAGAAATAAACTTACCTAAGGAGGCAAAAGACCTGGATTCCAAAAACTCTAAGATGCTGATGAAAGAAACTGAAGACGACACAAAGAAATGAAAAGATACAACATGTTTTGGGATTAGAAGAATCATTATTGTTAAAATGACCATACGACCATACTAGCCAATGAAATCTACAGATTCAGTGCAATCCCTATTAAACTATCAATGACATTTTTCACAGAACTAGAACAAAAAATTATAAAATCTGTATGATAACAGAAAAGACCTGAATAGCCAAAACAATCTTGAGAAAGAAGAATGGAGCTGCAGGAAATAGGCTCCCTGACTTAAGAGTATATTGCAAAAGCTACAGTAATCAAAACAGCATAGTACTAGTACAAAACAGACATATAGATCAATGGAACAAGGTAGGAATTCCAGAAATAAACCCATGCTTTTTTTGTCAATTAATCTATGAAAAAGGAAGCAAGAATATATGATGGAGAAAAGACAGTCTCTTCAACACATAGTGCTGGAAAAACTGGACAGCTACATGTAAAAGAATGAAATGAGAACATTCTCTAACACCATATATAGAAACAAAATCAAAATGGATTGAAGACCTAAATCTAAGACCAGATACTATGAAACTCCTAGAGAAAAACACAGGCAGAACTGTATTTTTCCAGTAATTTTTTTGGATCCATCTCCTAAAGCAATGGAAATAAAAACAAAAATAACAAGTGGGACCTAATTAAACTTAAAAGCTTTTGCACAGCAAAGGAAATCATTAACAAAACAAAAAGACAGCCTAAGGAATGGGAGAAAATATTTGAAAATGATGTAACTGACAAGGGATTAATTTCCAAAATTTATAAGCAGCTCACACAGCTCAATATTAAAAAAACCAAACAACCCAATCAAAAACTGGGGAGAAGATCTAAATAGACATTTCTTCAAAGAAGATATACAAATGGCTAACAGGCACATGAAAAGATGTTGAACATCACTAATTATTTGAGAAATGCAAATCAAAACTACAATGAGGTTATCACCCCACATGTTCAGAATGGCCATCATCAAAAAGGCTACAAATAATAAATGCTGGAGAGGGTGTGGAGAAAAAGTAACCTTTCTACACTGTTGGTGATAATGTAAATTGGTACAGCCACTATGGAGAACAGTATGGAGGTTCCTTAAAAAACTAAAAACAGAGGATCCAGCAATCCTACTCTTGGGCATATCTGGAGAAAACTCTTAATTCTAAAAGATACATGTACTCCAATGTTCATAGCAGCACTATTTACAATAGTTAAGAAATGGAAACAACCTAAATATCCACTGACAGATGACTGGATAAAGATGTTGTGGTACATATATATACAATGGAGTACTAATAAGCCATAAAAAGGAATGAAATAATGCCATTTGTAGCAACATGGATGAACCTGGAGATTGTCATACTAAGAGAAGTAAGTCAGACAGAGAAAGACAAATAACATATGATATCACTTACATGTGGAATTTAAGAAAAATGACACAAATGAACTTATTTACGAAACAGAAAGAGACTCACAGACATAGAAAACAAACTTATGGTTACCAGGGGGAAAGGGAGGAGGGAGGGGTAAATTGGGAGTGTGGGATTGGCAGATGCAAACTACTGTGTCCCAAATAGATAAAAAACAAGATCCTACTGTATAGCAAAGGGAACTATATTCAATGGCTTGTAGTAACTTGTAATGAAAAAGAATATGAAAAAGAAAATATATATATATAACTGAATCACTATGCTGTACACCAAAAACTAATACAATATTGTAAATTAACTATGCTTCAATAAAAAGTTTTAAAAAAGTAAAGGAGTTATATTTATAAATGTATTTATTTAAAAAATTAACACACGTAACAAAATTAACACACATAACAAATGTTGGTGATAATGTGAAGAGGGAACCTTCCTACACTGTTGGTGGGAATGTAAATTGGTGCAGCCACTGTGGAAAACATTATGGAGGTCTCTCAAAAACCTAGAAGTAGAACTGCCATATGACCCAGCAATTCCACTCCTGGGTATATATCCAAAAAAAAAAAAAAAAAACAAAAACCACCAAAAAACCCAACATTAATTCAAAAAGATGTTCACAGCAGCATTATTTAAATTTGCCAAGGTATGGAAGCCACCTAAATGTCCATCAACAGATGGATGAATAAAGAGGATGTGGTAATATATATATAATATTATATATACACACACACACACACACACACAATGAAATACTACTCATCCATAAAAAAGAATGAAAATTTGCCATTTGCAGCAAAATGGATGGACTTGGAGGGCCTTAGGTTAAGTGAACTAAGTCAGATAGAGAAAGACAAATACTGCATGATATCACTTATATGTGGAATGTAAAAACAACAAACTGGTGAGTAAAACAAAAAAAGAAGCAGACACAGATATAGAGAACAAACTAGTGGTTACCACTGTGGAGAGGGAAGGGGGCAGGGAAAAAATAGAGAGGTAGGGGATTTTAAAAAATTTTTTTGGATTAGTTGAAATCATGTGTGTGAAACTTTCGAAAATTGTAAATCACTATAGAATTTAAAGAATCTTCCACTCAATAAAAAAAAAGCCACAATAGTGAACAAGATTGAATGTGCATAGGGTGAGAAAAGAGTCAAGGACAAAACTCTGAGGAAGGCTGGCATGTACGGGGTAAGAAGAAAGATGCAAGGAAGGAGAAAGAGCATGAATTTTCAAAGGGCAGAAAGAGAACCAGCCAAATATGACACGGAAGTCAAGGGAAGAAAGTGCTACATTCTTCTAAAATGCTGAATTCCAATGATTCCGTGTACCAACAGACATTAAAGCTATACTTTTCATTTAAAAAAATTTTTTAAAATGTAAGTACTAGGATTGGACCCAGGACCTCATGCATGCCAAGCACCCGCTCTACCACTATATCCTCCCCTCTAAGGCTATACTTTTATAATTTCACAGAGAATTTTGGGAAGCTAATAAAAGCTTAAACAACATAAATGTAATAATGAAAAACAGAGAATGGTGTTACACATATTTTCTATGTTGCTATTTATGTGTTCTATTTCAGGAAACATCTGGAGCAGAGGGTATGAGGTAAAGAACTTCCACTGCTTATCTCAAATGATGAAAGGATTCAAGAAGAAAATGACTCAGATAAACTGTAGACGCAAGAAAAAAGTGGTTGAATAACTTTGCCACTCAGATGAGACATCTGAAGACTAAGAAGAGGAAAAATTGTAGAAAAGCGCCTGAAACTTTATATTTAACAGAGTATAGGAGGTGTGTTGATTCAGAAGGAATGAGTCATTCAGAAATAATAAAACTATTAGTTTGCCTGGAAAACACAGGCACTCTGTGGTGGATGACTCAGTATGGAAACTGATCCCATGAGAACGATGTAGAGAAATACAAAAACATATACCACAGAACTACTTGCAGGATGAAAAAAAGGAGACCTGGAATATTTTGTGTGTTCACTTCAAAAATAGTTGAGAAGATAAATTAAGAAATCACATAGAAGGGAAGATTTTTCTGATGCTCATAGAAACCATATATATGAACATGAAAGAACAATTAATGCTTTAGGTTTAGGGCTAATGTCTTAATGAGACCAGAAGTAAAGTAAGAATATCTCAGCAGCAGGCCTAATTTGAGCATAAGGGAAGTAGGAAGCTCTTAAAAACTTACTTTTACCTTTACTCCAGTGGAGAGACAGGAAATGTGGCTGAGGGGAAAAGCACCAGGTGGGCAGTCAGGGGCTCCTTGTCCCAGCTTCGGCACTGACCAGCTCAGTAAGTTGGTCAAGTCATTTCTCTCACTGCTATTCGCCTTCTCTTCTGGAAAAACAGGACAGAACACGGCTTTAGGGTCTAAGGAACATAAGAAAAGTGAAAAGTTTTTCTCGGTTTGAATTAGGAAAAAGCTGTACTTTACCAGAGAACTGCTTTGTATTATTTGATGTGGAAAGCACAATGAACTGGCTATTAATTTTTAATGCATGTAATTTGCAAAGTTACTGATTTCTCTGAGTACTGACTCCAAAAGGAAAATTAGGAAGTTAAACTTTGACCATTTTATAATTAAAAAAAATTCCCTACTATATATTCCAAAACATCAATAGTCATCTCTATCTGCTGGTAGTATCTTAAGTTACTTTAATTCACATATTTTTCTTTTCTAAGCCTTTTTCTTATTTTGGAGGAAATCACATAAAAATGAAACCACATTCTATAAATAAAAATCATTTGGATGGTTTAGAAGAACATATATACCACACAGTTTAAGGAGCATTTGAATGCTACTATAAGCTAGATACTCTTTAAGACTAGGGAACTACAAATTCTATAAATTTGCTTCAAACAGCTTACAGTGTGAGTGGGCAGAGAATATATCTTTTATATCAAGGAGGGCATCCCAGAGAGGAGGACTGCCAAGCCCAGCCTGGAGTAGAATAGTAGTTGGCTGCAGAAATAAAGGGAAGATGCCTTGTGGATAAACAGAGCAAGGCAGTAAGTGGCCTGGGAGGTATGAGGAGCTACCAGGAGTTTGGTATTATTCCAGTGTCAAGTTTGAAGAGAGGCTTCTAGGTGCTACAGCTAAAGGGCAACCCAGCATCCAAGAGCCCAAGAAGTTTCAGCGGGGGGTGGTAGGGACGTGGTCAGATTTACATGGTGGGTGTATCACTGTGTAGCACTGCGGAGGACAGTTGGGGAAGCAAGAATCAAGCCAGGCAGACCAGCTAGAAAGGCTCTGCAGAGAGAGTCCAGAAAAGAATCAGTGAGGCTACAAATGAGGGCAGCTCAGAGGCATAAGTGACTACCCATGATCACAAATCTACGAGTATGATCTGAATGTAAATTTATCTTTAAATCCTGTACTTTTCTGTATCTCTGTGCAAGCACAAATTTGGTCCAAGGTGACAACAGGTCCTAAATTCACTTTTATTAGGTAAATTGTGAATCTTAAAAAAAGGCTATTCATTAATATACATTAAATACCCAAAACGTTTAGGGCACTATAAAAACAAAGCTCCTGACTATAGGAACTTAGAAGATAAAAGAAATGGGACAAAAAATAATAGATCAATTCATTCAGTAGGTACTTACTGGGGCACTTCTGGGCCTTGACAGAGATCACATTCTAGTGACAGTTCCTTCTAGAACATAATTTCTACATCCTCCCTTCCCTCCCTGACAAGTTCACTTGGGCACAAGTGAGTAGAGAAGCCCTTCAGAGCCAAGTGGACAATTCTAGGAGATGACCAGGAACCTGGGGTAAAATAAACAGAAGCATGGGTCAGGGGAAAACTTGCTTGAGTGGAACGATAAGAGAACAGGGGAAAATCCCAAAGGATGACATGAATGGCAGGAGGCTGTGGAGGAACCTGGAATTGCCTTCAGAGTGGCTTGGATATAACAGATCAAAGTTACTGCTTATTTTTTAAAACGACAGTTTTAATCTTTACAAAAGTAATGGCTGTAGAAATAAAATATGACTGCTGAAAAAAAAGAGAGAGAGGAAAATACAAAGAGGAAAATAAAGATCACACCCAGAGATAGTATCAATATGAACATTTTTGTCCTTTTTAACTTTCAACATACACATAAACATACACAGACCTGGGGATTTTTGTGAATATTTATTATTATTTTTTAACAAAAGTGAGAATTAAAGTTTGATACCTGCCTTTTCCACTTAATATAGGGAAACATCTTTTCATGAAAACAAAAGTCTATACCAAAATGTATAAAAATCTGATATACATTTTGTGGATATACCAAATTACTTATTCAATTTTCTACTAAGGTACATTAAGGCTGTACGATAAGTAAGGTGCAGAAAGGAAGCACGAAGCAAGCAAATAATAACACTGACATCAGCTGTGGCAACATTTTGAGTATTCTAAAGGTGGAAAGAGGTAAGACACATGGAAGCTCATGAGATTTTAGCGTTCCAGACATAAGATGAATAATGTCTGAATCTGGAATTCTTTGTGGATGAAGAATTTCCAAACGGGAAACACAAAAAGAAGACTGCAGCCCAACACACACTAAAAATGAAGTAATTTCAAATCTTCACATCTGCAGAACAGATAGAATGTCAAAGAAAGCACCCAGACAACTAAAAACAGTGGGTGGACTGCCAGGGGAAAACCAGCACTACTCTAGTGATCACCCACAACCACAGCTTTTCAAGGAAGCGACAGAGCTCCCCAAACTCTGCTCCAACAAAAAGTGCACTGAGTCTGTCTTGTGGAATGCTAGGTGGCCTAAGACTTCTTGTATTCTCTCTGGGCCTCCGTTTCCTCAAGCGTTTGGCTGCGCTCTGTGAATTACACACTGAGCTCGTCAGAGTTCCCTTGGAAGCTGCCAATATGAGCCGTTTCCCATAGCAACCAGAATAGCTCTGCTGTTATCTGTTTTATATATTGGATGGATCTATAAAAAATGTTTCACTTGAAAAAACAGATTTCTATAGCTAAAAGTATTTTTAAAATCACAGGATTAAAAAAAATCACATTCACCCTTCAGATTATTTAATCATTCACAAAGGTAAAAATATAAATGTATAGTGGAGGGATGTGAAAGTCACCACCTTAACACCTTAGTTAAACTTAGCATCACTACTGGTGGGATAATCAGATAATGGGTACCTCCCAGTACAGTGCAATATGGAGACTAAAGTATCATTTATGGTTTTCTTGCCCAAAATATTTAGCTTTAATTAAATTTTTAGATTACATGTCCACTTACAGGAAATCCAGGCAATAGAGAAATAAGTTACACACCACCATGAGTAAACAGAGAAATTCATAATGGGACTCATTCTGTAGAAAACTGGCCTGGTCTCTTCAATAAATCAGTATCATAAGGGGAAAAGCATGCATGTGGAGGTGGGTAGGTGAGAGAGAGGCAGAAGGAACACCAACTATAAAGGCTCTGAGAACAGACTACAGGAGCAGGCACAGAGGCAGGGAGATGAAAAAGGGGGCTAAATTTGCCTGGGCTAATTCAGGAAAAGATGATGCTGGCTTGGAGCAGGTGGTAGCAGAGGAAGGGTGAGAAGTCAGACTCTGGATGTATTTTGAAACAAGAGCCTGTGGGTCAGATGTATGAGTTTTATGGGGAAAAAGGAGGTTGAGGATGAACCTAAGGTTGATTTTTTTAACCGTTGTTGTTTGTTTGCCTCAACAACTGGAGGAAGAGAACTGACTTAACTGAGACTGGAAAGACTGCAGGGAGAGCAGATGTGTTGGTGGGAGCAGGAGTGATAGTGTCTAGAAAGATCAGTAGTTCTGTTTTGGGCACTACTTTTGAGGTGCCCATTAGACACTCACATAAAGACATGCAGAATGCTGTTAGAGACCTGAGCCTGGATTTCTGGGGAGAGATTTAGGCTGATACCAACTTAAGAGACTAGATGAAATCACCAAGGCAGGGAATGCAGAAAGAAAAGAGGAAGAAACATACAGAAATATTTACTCTATAATAAATCTTAGTTTCTAAGATTCCATAGAAATCTATATTTCTATATAGGAATAGAACATAGAAAGAAACATCCAAAGGCTGAGCCTAGGGGCACTCAAACATGCAGAGGAGCGCTGTCCAATAGAACTCTGTAAGATGATGAAATATTTATATATCTGTGCCATTCAATCACTCCCCACATGTGGCTACTGAGCACTTGAAATATGGGTAATGTAACTGAATAACTGAAAATTTAATTTACATAGCTACATGAGCTAGTGGCTATAGTACTGGACAGCCCAGATCTAGAGTTTGGAGAAGTAAAGAGAAAATCAGCAGAAAAGACTGAAAAGAAGTAGTAAGAGAAGGGGGAACCATGACAAGTTCTCCAAGGGTCTCCTGTGTTTCTGTACACACTGCAAGCAAGGCACTGCTGCCTGTCTTGATAGTCAGTGATACTTTTATATGGTATGATAGTTCTGGACTAGTTTTTCAAGAATGTATAACAAATAGCCTTGGAAGACTTGATACTGTCTTGCTCTGGAGCAAAGGGTCACTGTCCAGTACAATAAACATGTTTCCCCCTGGAACAAAGAGAAGGTGTGCTTATTGCCCATCATAAAAGATTTGGGCTCTCTAAGGTCATGTTCCTTTCTAGTAAAACAAGCCACCATGTGTGCAGGTGTAGTCTGGCCCCACCCACATTGCCTCAGCGGTAACTGGGCCTCAGGGAGTCAGTATAAAAATACTCCTACTCAGGCTACTCTATTGCTGTAAGTAATAAGCTGTCTTTTGTCTCTGATCCAGAAGTCTTCTGTTTTCTACCACCACTCTCAAAACTGTCAAGCTAACCTGTTAGCTTACATATAGGGCAAAATATTAGGTCCTGCATAGTTCTTGACAAGCATTTTAGAATAAAGTGAAAAAGGTGTTTAGAAGAGGAAAGAATGGTTAACTTGGCTCCTGAATGTTGTCAGATAAGTATTCACAAATGACAGATGTTTTGATGGAATTATGGGAACAGAAATCTGACTGGCTTGAGTACAAGAAAGAAGGGGAAGAGAGAGGCTCGCAAGATGGTGGAGTAGAAGGAC